GGGTGGGAGGGCTTGGGCTATAGGGGTGGCCAGGGAGTCTGTCAGGAGGAAGGGCTGGATCAGCTTTTCTCCCGAGGAGGGGATCTGGGCCGTGGATCAGTGTGGGAGCCATTATAGGGCTCGAACCACCCCAGACACCCTCCTGCCCCTGAATGAGGGCCCTCACAGAATCGGGGTGTATTTGGACTATGATCAGGGTTTGGTGTCATTTTATCACCCACACATGGAGGTCCCAATCTACACTTTCACCTCTTCTTTCTCAGGGACGCTCTACCCTTTCTTCTGGGTCTACTCCCCAATCAGTCTCCTTCCCTGAGATAAGGCAGGGGGGTTAGCACCAGTGTTCCCTCTAATATTTTCTATGCCTGGGTGGGCTGAATTTTCTTTTGGGTGGGTCGAAATTCTTACGTGCACCACCAGTACTGGGGTTGTGTGTAGATATGCAGCACCAGTGCAAACAAAAAACCTAGGTGGCATGTTAGTGGGTTTTAAAGGGAGCAGCCAGATCACTGCTGTGCCCACGGAGGGTGTTTGCTCCAAATTCGGTACAACGTGGGTCATGTGAGGTGTCAATGAAAGCTTGTGCTCTACTGATTCTATGTATGATACTCATGTACTTGTGTGATGTCTGTGTGTGGGGTTAGGAATATGGGCTCTGTACTTGTACTGTAAATGTTCTCTGTCTGGAAGCGAGCAATGTGCCTGGACTGCCTGTTGTGAGGAAGGATTGGTCAGTGACTGGCTGTGCTCACTCACACTACTGCATGGACAATGGCTCCGGGAGTGGCCAATACACACCCGAGGATGCGTCTGGAAACCTGCAGACTGGCCAGTGCCTCGTGGCTACTTGCATGTGACACAGAGATAGGTCACTTGGTCATGTGACCAGCTCCAGCCTGGGAGACACCAGGGATATAAAAGTGCCATGAGGCATCTCCATCTTGTCTTCAGTCCTGCTACTGATCCCAGATGCAGCCTTGCGAGGGACAGAGAGCCGGGAAGGATGGCTGACCCATCCTGACACAGGATGGACACCAGAGACTTCTAAGCTAGAAATTTGTATCATCTCTGCTAAGTGCCTGCATGGAAAACATGGCAATTGATGTATAAAATGCATTCTCCTTAACAAACTTACTCTAAACCTTTTCTTTTTTTATGAATCAACTTCACCTGCATCCACACTGTAACTGCATTATTTCGTAATTAAATTGAATGGACGCAGGGTTTTTTTCGAACTTGGTAAACCTCAAACTACAAGGACTAGCACATGTTTCGAAAGAACTCTTTTGAAAAAGGCGTGTGTGGACACAGAACAGGGACTTTTTTCGAAAGAAGAGGGAAGAGGAAAAAGCACAGGCCCCTGGTAGCCATTCCATCCGTTGCAACCAGGGCTTACATGCAAGAGTGTCCAGGCAGTCTGGGTGCTCTCTTTTGAAAAAGAAGATCACTTTTTCAATCTACTTTTGAGGTGCGGACACTGTCTTTTGAAAGAAGCTTTTTTCGGAAGATCTCTTCCAAAAAAGCTTCTTTTGAAAGCCTGCAGTCTAGACGTACCCCTTGATTCTAAAGGATTGGCCCGGCGTGGTCTTGTGGGTAATATCTAGAGTGTAAATCAACTGGGCATTGCGGCTGGTTCTTTGGGACCGGGAAGATCTGTTTTTAGTTGGTGAGATTGGGTTTTATAACCTTTCATAACCTGTGTGTAGGCCCGGGGCTGATTGCGACACAGGGAGAGCTGGGGTGTCTGAGGGGTTTTGTTTATGAGGCTTCCTGCAGGCCAGATTGGCAGCTGAAGCGCTCTGCGTGGCTGGTTTGTGGCCTATTTGGGAAGAGTCTCTAGTCGAGGGCTGTAAGTGGCCCTTGTTTTGAGCAATGTGCCCTGAGCTGATGCCCGCAGTGGTGCCCAGACCCAGCCCTGATCCATCACACTGGGTGTGTGTGTGTTTGGGGGCGGGAGGGGTATTAAACGGTCCAATAGGGCTGGAAGACATACATTAAAACAAGGGATAGTTCACAAGGAGCAATGCTTCTGCTGTTTATTTAATATGAAATCAAATTTAAAAGGAAGTTAACACTGCCCTTGGAGGACAGGCATGTGTCTGGTTAAAACACAACAACTTTGGACCCATGGGCCAAAGAGCCTCTTCAAGGGGCCACGCTGGGTTTTTTGGGGGGTTTTGGGTTTTTTTGCTTGGTATTTTGGGTTAAACCATCTGGCAACCCCAGCTGTCCTGCCAGATTTAATATGAAATCAAATTTAAAAGGAAGTTAACACTGCCCTTGGAGGACAGGCATGTGTCTGGTTAAAACACAACAACTTTGGACCCATGGGCCAAAGAGCCTCTTCAAGGGGCCACGCTGGGTTTTTTGGGGGGTTTTGGGTTTTTTTGCTTGGTATTTTGGGTTAAACCATCTGGCAACCCCAGCTGTCCTGCCAG